TTTAGAATAAATTCACCCGCGTCATATTATCATCATGTCGTTACGGAAATTTCGAAATTGTTCCAAAACAGAAAAAAAACGGTCTACGTACAATGTGCAGAGTGACATTTCGGCGACGAATAACAAACAAATGCCTATATTGTAATATTATTGGAAATGCACGAAAACTGCGTACCCATTCAACACTAAAAAAACCACAATATTCATCATCCTACCGTTATTACGATCATAATGTATTCGCCGAATTAAAAAATCAAACTCCTAAACGCCCGATCTCGAAAAGCGGATTATTATAACGGGTCTATTGCGGGCGGGGTTAAAATTGTGTTTTTCACGCGGAATAAACGAACGGATACGATTCTATTACCATTGGGTAGTACGAGTAAATTATGCGGTTCCCTCCTCCCACCCCCTTGGGATACTCGTCGTATAGATTTCGTTCAATTCGTAATCCGAATTTAATAAAATCGTCGGCTACGGGGTTGTTTCGTTGTTATTATTATTATCGCGCTCCCGTGTATCGGCGGCGCGGCGGGAAATCAAAAGTCTCGGTTTTAACACGACAACACGGCGTGTCAACGTCATTTTAATTCCCGTGTCCGCCCTCACCGTACACGTCCCTTATTGTCGCCCAGGCCAATTATTTACTCGAACCGCCGTCCCCCCGGCGAGCGATACGCGAACGACGAGATTAGCGGACGGACGATCCGCGGTTCCTTTCGGTCCGGAGGCTAAACGGCCGCGGGCCGCCGTTCGCGTGGTCTACGAGGCGTTCGCGTTTCGTAACGACGTCGCGTACGCGCACTGTGGCGCGCAGCCGTTATTAACTCGGTTTCGAGTTTGGCCGCCGGGGATTTTCAACGTTCTCGTTTTGCGCGCGACCAATTACAGACGGATTTGCGTGCGTTTCGCGATGTGCCGGCGCGCCGCGGCGATCGCGTCGCGCGTTCGTACGAGTGGCTATCGGGAATGACGCGCTTCGCGCCACGATAACGGCGATTGTTTTCGTGGTACCCGGTAATGGTTGTGAAACGCACGCCGAACGGAAGTCGGCCGGTGTCCGTCGAAAATCTTATCGGCCGTGTCGGTAATGGTAATAATCGTGCCGTCGTAAAAACGGCGATCGGCCGCGTTCGGATAACACGGTAACACGAAAAAAAAAAAAAAAAAAAACCAAACAGACAAACTATACAATATTATCGTATAGCGCACGACTCGACATCCGGCGGGCCGAAAACCCGACGAAATACCGTCTTTTTCTCGTCCTACGAAAATCCAACGTTCGATATTTGCTCGAAATAACGTAATAAAATCTATAATTTTAACGCGATGTGACACAATTGTCGTCACTTATAATGGACACCGAATGCTCTGGACGGTAGACTTTTTCCGCCTCGTTAAAACTCGTTCGAATTAAAAGAAAAAACAAAAAAAAACGCCGAAAGAGTCGTTTGTTTTTTTTTTTTTTTCTGTACAGCATTTCGGATCCAGAAGTGGTCGTTTGTTTTTCGCGTTTTTCCATGTAGTTTTCATGATAATCGGCGGAAAAACATGGCGGGGAAAACGTATAGGAAACATTTGCGACAGCAAAAAGTTTCACTATTTCCGATTTTTCTACCGGAAATTTGGCTAGGGATTTCAAGCGTAGCGCCTTTACCGAAGGAAAACGTCATCCGGTTGGCGCGTGACGCGTTTTCCGTTTGATATTCCGCGTGGTTTTCTTAATAACCGGAGACAAGTCAATAAGGGATTTTTTTTTTTTTTTTTTAATTTTTTTATTCATCATTATTGCGATTCGGTTCAAAAACAATCGCGAGTACGTTCGAAATTTTCCGAAAGATATTGACTTTTTCCGGACGCGGAACGACTCCCAAAACATTCTGGCGATATTTTTTTTTTTTTTTTTTTTTTTATCAATTACACACCATATACGGCTCGCGCACAAACCGTACGGTTTTATTTCACCTGTCCACGCCGTAACAATAATAGTGTACATGGAACTAATATTATTTGTACTTTTTCATTGACAATAAATGTTCTTAATTTTAAACTCTACCGACGATGCGTCGATGTAAAAATGTAAGTACACACCGCGAAACAGTTTTCGGTTTTTCGGAAACAACCGAACGCCCAAACCCGCGATAAACGACAAACCGAAACTTTCGTAAAATAAAACGATTAGGGCGGAGGACTTCTGTAACATTGGCATACTATACTTCAGTTAGCGCGGTCGTAAAAAACGGTCGGTTCGAAAGAAATTCTTTTTTATGTTACAAACAAAGTCAAATTTATATGATTGTGCGTCGCATATCTAAATATAGGTAGTTTTGCTTTTCGAAACATTCGTAGGTTGTTTTTTTTTTAATGCTGTTTAGGGGTTTTTTCATACTTTTTTTTTCACAATTTCTCAAGATACGGCATTTATCAAAAAGAAAATCGTTAATAAAATCATAGATTAATATATATTATAAGAAAAAACGTTATTTTTTACCGTCAGAAGAAGAAACGTCAAATTAAATACCACATTTACAAACGAATTCGTCGAACAATCAATGCTTAATGTACCGATTTCTATTGTAGTTTAAACAATGCAAATTATTAAGAGCGAAAATTTCGTTCAAGCGAAACGTTTAATTTTAAACATTTGATCGTGGTACGGCGTACGATTAAAATTGAATTAAAGGTAGATAATTGGTTTTATTTTTTAATTATTATTATTATTATTATTTTAGACGGTTTGTAAATAACTAATAATTTTCAATTTAATCGCTAGAAATCTTTAGAACCCGATTTCGGTGCATATTTTAGGGATTTCGAGTGCTACGAGTGCTGCTATTGTACAGCTAAATGATTATCTGCTCTTATAACAATATGATTACAAACAATACAGCAATCAAAACAGTATAATAATTATAATATACGCGAAAGCTATACGAAAATTCGCCCGCAAAACGACCGTTTACTTTAAATCTCTCGCTCTCTCTGTGTCCATTTCGGCGTTGACGTTAACTATAACAATAGATAATACAGAATAAAGTCTGGAATTTGATTTATCTTAATCTTTTAATTATTATTAATTAATTATTAATCTATTTTATTCCGTTTTTTTTTTTTTTTTTTTTTTATTGCGATCGTAAAATACCCGATTACCGATCGAACACCTATATTGTAATAACAGTGTCTTCATTTAGTGTGTATGAAAAAAAAAAAAAAAAATGTAAATAACAGGGCGTATATAAAAGAACTCGGAAGAACACGGAAGAACGAGAAAACCCTACTACCTAAGGTCAATAAACCATAATATCATAATGTTAAACCTAGTTAAATATTAAAATCGTTTTTTTTTTTTTTTTTTTAAACATAATATTATCAATAATTCTAACGATTATAGCCTATGTGTCTAACACAGTGTTATATTATAATATTAATATTATTGTTAAACGTAATGTTACAGGAGTTAATAATTGTTCATTATACCGACATACGTGACAACAAAATGATAAAAAAAAAAAAAAAACCTGTGGCCGGTACCTACAATCGTTGGTCGCGTTGTCGTGTTAAAAGACCCATAATGACAGCAAATAATTCTTTTAACACAAAACGTCGTCGTCTTAGCAGTAGTGGTAGTAGTTTTTTTTTTTTTTTTTAGTTGTTAATACGCTATTTTTTTTTTTAAATTATTATTATTCGTGTTTTTTTTAATTTTTTTTTTAACGGCTATAACTTTTAAATATTAAACGCGGTAAAAAAAATTAGATTCGCGAACAAGACGGATTTGTAACATTTATTACAGGTGTGTTATCGCTGTGTAGTCGTGGCGGTTTTCTACAAACGTTTTATTGTTCGAACTGCCTGGTGTTCGCGCCGTCGGCGGCCCGATAACCGCGATAATAACCGTCCCGTAAAGTCGCGAAAACGGCGTTTCGGAGCCACCCGCGTGGGACGGGTGGGTAGAAGGAGCTGCGCGTAGACGGCGGCGGACGACGTCGGTACACGAAAGTGACAAAAACGCGGAGAGAAAAATAAAAAAAAACATCGATAGAAACGGATACGTATACGAAAACGACAAACGCCACATGGCCTCGCCGAGCACTTGAAAAAGGGCGCGCTGGAATACCGCGGCGGCGGCGTGCACGGTATAGTATTACGGTGGGAAGGGTATCGCGCGCGAGGAACAGAAAACCCACTATAAACACGCGAGAGTTATCGAGAAGGTCCGTCGTCGTTAAACCGTATTAAATCTGTCGACGCGGTTATTCCGTGGGTGCCGGCGACGGGTGCCCGCTAACCCGCCCGAATGTCGTTACGGCCCGCGTTCTCGTTTATTATTATTGTTATTATCCGACACGCCGGGGCTCGAGACGTCTCGCGCGCCGTTCGGAAGAATTCGAAACCCGAAACGGACGGCCCGCGGACCCGGAGAACCCGGCGGCCGGACGGGCGGGACGATTTCCTCCGGCCGCCCGAGATCGCCGGCCCCGGCCCCGGCCACCCGCACTCCCACCCCCCCTCCAACGGCGCGATTTAAACGTGTTTTCGATTCGAACGTTCGCGCGCTCCGGAAAAACCGCCACGACACGCCGCGTTCGTTATTGCCGTTATCGGGACGTTACAAACATTATTACCGGCGCGTCCGAAGCAATCCCCCGCGCCGGCCGTTTCGCGATACGGGACATTGCGATCGCCGTAGGTACCCGGCGCCCGGTAACGATTTTTGAGTGGACAACGTTGTTAACATTATAACGGGGGGGGGGGCATTAAGTAATAATATAATTAACAAGTAATATAACTAAGTAATTGTAATAATAATAATAATAATAATATGTAATAAAACGCACAATAATACATACATAAACACTCACCCTGGGTTGAGCCATGTTGCTGCTGGTTCTTCTGGAGGTGCTACTTATGATATTGTCGTGTATTCGCCGGCGCGTCGCACTGTACACTGTTGCTCTGTTTTTTAAATTTTTTTTTTTTTTTTTACAGCGGACCGTTTACGAAAAAAAAAAAAACGATTATTATTTATTATGTGCGCTCGCGCGCGCGTGTGTGTGAAAAAAAAAAAAAATCACCGCGACGGCGGGCCGTAACGCGTCGTATATTATATACTGTTTAACGGCGGCGGTCCGGGAGCGTGTATACTTTGACGAGAAATTCGTAAAACCAACTGACGAGTAGGAAAAAAAAAAACCCCGCGGTACGTGCGTTGGTACGTATGCGAGGTACGCACGGGATGCGTCGTTGTACACGTTGCGCCGGGACTACGACGGCGACACGAGAACCATATTGTGTCTCGAAATCGCGGCTTCTCGCTCCGGGTATTGAATTTTTTTTATTATTATTATTATTATTTTTTTTTTTTTTTATTTATTACAATACAATTTGAAATCGGACGGACGTTCGTCGAGTGTGCGGTTGGCGGCGGCGGCGTAGAGACAGATAGAAAAATAAAAAATCGAAATAAACGAACGAACGAACGAACGAACGAACGACGGGTCTGACGGCGGCGACGGCGGTTATTATCTTTCGCAAAGCGTATTAACTGCTACGGCGGCGGCGGCGTGGGTACGATAACGGCGGTGCCAGCACGCCAGCTGATCGGGACGTCGCATTTCGGCCGCGACAAACAAAACGACGACGTGTGCCTGCTATGCGGCGCGTCCGGTGCGGTGTCTCTCGTGGGCCCGATCGTCGCCGTCGACGGCGCGGAAAACCGGCGTGCGGTGCCTGTGTGCGCCGCTGTGCTGCGGCGAGCCGAGTCGTAGTCGGCCGGGTGCCCGGCGGCGGCGGCGGTTTCCCGCGGCCGGCGATTCCGCCCGGAACGAGACCCCGTGGACGAGCGCGCGCTTTGCACCGCGTGTTCAACGCGCACACGTATGCGCCGCGAGATGCCGTGCGACGGACGCGCGCCGGTACGGTTGTCGCGCGTAGCAGGTAATAGTAATACGATAACGCGCTCGTCTCGCGGGCGACGGGATGCGTTGCGCGTTTTGTACAATGACAACGTGCGGCGTCGGCGTTCGGACGGGTACCGCGCGATTCGGTCGGACGCACGCGTGTGTACCGTGGAAAAAAAATTTTTTTTAAAAAAAAAAAAAAACCGCGCGCGCGTTTTTTCTCTTTACAATATAGTGCGGTTGTGTCTCTTTATATATATATACATATACATATATATATATATATATACGTATATATATATATATAGGTATGTAGTTGTTTGTATACCGACAGATCACACGACGGACGACCGCGCGCTCACACGACGAATCGAATACTGAAACTGAACTGGACGACGGATCGCGGGCTGCGGTCCCGTGTACGGTGTGTACGTACGGTACGACTACGGCGACGAAATCGGCGACGGCGGCGGCGGGCGTACAGAGTGCGCGCGCAACCGGTATGCGGCGGCAACGACGGCGGCGGCGGCGTCGACGTTGTGGGTCAGGTCGGGGCAGCGCGGCGGGTCGGGGCTTCGCACGCATGTGCTCGCGTTCACGGGGGGCGGTACCCCCGAGCGTTATGACCGCCTCCCGAACAGCGGTCACGTGACAAAAATGGAGCCTCACCGCCGCCGCAGCCACCGTCGTCGCCGCCGCCGCCCGTCACCCGCCGCCCGTCGTCGAACGTCGCCGTCCGACCGACCGACCGTCCGTCCGTCCGTCCGTCCGTCCGTCCGTCCATCCGTCGGTCGGTCGGTTGTGCTCGCACAGCTCGTCCGACCGTTCCCAGCCTAACCGGCGGCGGCGGCCCGGGTTCCGCACCCGACGGCCCGAGTCGCGCACAACCGGCATGCCCCACCCTCATTTTTTCCCAAGATTCCCTCGCCCGCTCTACGCGAAACGGCCCCTGCACCACACCGCCGCACACCCGAAGCTTTGTTGTGCATGCGACGCGCACGCCGTCACGGCGGCGGCGGTTAATAAGTTCGATTTCGGTTGTGTGTGTGCGAGCGCGACCGAACCGGACCCGTCCCGCAGCACGCGGTCGGACCGTATAATAGTAATAATACAGTATCTCAGCGCGCGGGAATCAACACGACGCGTAGCTCTTTTGTCAATACATACCGCGGCGGTCGCGACGTTTCTCTCTGTTCGTCCGTCTCTCGCTCTCTCTCTCTCTCTCTCTCGCACACACACGCACACGCACACACACTCTCGCTCTCTCTCTCTCTCTCTCTCTTTCTATTTCCCACACCCGGCGGCCAAATTTCGCGAAAAACGCGCTCGTACACGTTACACGTTGGCGATTATTACTCAAGTGCGGATTTATAATGTTGTGCGCACTTGAAAATACCGTGAAACGAGACATTTATTATGCGTTTAAATATTATATGCGAACCGCGGCGGCGGCGGTACACTGCTGGCGTATTAAAATACGCCTGTTTTGTAATATTATTTTCAAAATTTTTTTTTTTTTTTTGAAAAACCGCTCGCAGATCAGCGTGCAAAGTTCCCGCGGTTTCCGTAAATGTATTTTAAACAATAAACTACAAGTTCGTGTAGTGTTTTGAAATAATACTAGCTAACAGGAATACACCTATATTATTATAACGTTCATGTGGTGTACGAACCGATGTAAATTTAAAATCTCAACTCGAAAAGATAGGTAACACCCTGACAGGACACGTTTGAAATTTTTCAAACACTGCACGTGTTCTGGTATCTATTTTAGATTCCGAGAGCATGCAGCGAGGAATGTTTGGAGATTTTACTATGACGTGTAGGTCGAGTACTTTGTTTCCAGCGGTTGTTAACGACATTACTACCGGCAAATCTTGCCCGTCCCGATCAAAAAAACGGCACGAGAACTTTTCGCTGTAACACATCGGGTCCGGTTGGTGCGCCGAGGCGGAAATTAATTGTTGATGGTCCGCGGAGTTTTCTCGATAGTTACGGGATAACCATATAGGACAAATTGAACTATCATCGCATTTCAATTGACAGTGATAATAACGATAATAATAAAGTTGCGAACAATATACATCGTCTCCTCGTCAACTGAATCACCGGCCGTGATCATTATGTAGGCATCACCTGTGGGATCTGTGAACGTAACGGACAAAACGATACGGTCCCGTCAAAAATATAGGCATTTCAATGCGATTCAGCCTGGACAGTAATATTTCTTCCTGTTGGCACGACAGCCGGACAATTTTTCAGTAAAACTATGAAACCCGTCAACGAATTGGACCGATTACATTTGTATATCGCTGAAAATGATCGCGTGATCAATGTAGATAAAATAACACGTGCTGTTTTCCTACTTTAAACAGAAACCGTCATTCAGAGCGTGTTGTTTTTTCTTCGCAATAGTACATCTTTTACCGCGAAAATCGTCCGATTCAAAGTAAAAAAATGTTAATCACAAAGACACTATAGCGCAAAAAACACTAAGTGACTTGTGCGTTCGTAAACTCGCCGCTGAAAAATTTAGCATCGGAAACCGCTAGGATCGAATAGATTTCACTATATGAAAACACCTTCCCACAACGGACCACCGGACACATGGTTCCTGTGAGTGTCCGTTATAGGCAGGTTTCACTGCAGCACTGTAGTATACGGGAGAACGGACACAACGGGCATGTATAGTGTCGAAAACTCGTGTTTATAAAAATCTAAAAACGAATGTCAGGAATGTCCATCACTCTACGAGAGTGCTATATGTGTACGCCTGTTTTCTAAACGTAGGCATTTAAAAACAATTAACCTATAATTTCATCGGTAGCAATAGTTTCGAAACATTTTGGTAGTTTAGTAGTATTGTGCCTATGACATGTGTAAATATCTAAACAAATTAAAAATCTCAACTTGTATAAATAATCGACAAAACATTTTTTAAATTTGTTGAGTATACTTATATTTTGGTGTCTAATGTTGGCCAGCGTAAATGCATATTTACCACTCATATTTAGTAAACAAATATAATAAATAATGATATAAGTATATAATTATTATAATGATACGACGAATTTATAATTAAATTAAGAATAATAATAATAATAACAATATTACGAATATTCTATTATACATACGTCATCCTGTCTCCGAAATCATCGACCGTAACCGCGTTCTATAGTAACTGTGCGGACGGACGGACACACCGCGGGGATGTAAGATGTATGCTAAACTTATGCTGAGAACCTCCACAAAAAAAAAAAAAAAAAAAACAACGAAATATTCGCATAGACATGATATAAACGTTCAAAAAATGTACCTCCGCCGTAATAAAATACAGAGATAACAATTTTCACCCCGCGGCGTATTTTAATGATACGATCATATACTTACTTGCAGTACCGGCAGAGCGAAAATAACAAGTCCGTTTTATACCTTGCGGGTTGCCGCACACATTTGTACAGGTAACAGAGCCGTAACAAGGGTGAGGCGACTGAGGCATTCACCTCAGGCGCTGAGGCGTTGAACCTTGATACATTTTTTAAACTAAAAATCCAAACGTACGTATCGTATTTACTATGTATGTAATCTCTTTGACTGTAGCTACGTGTGAACGTAACTTTAGTAAATTCACACTCAAACTATACGAACCTGCAGGACGGGCTATACAATTTATCTATTGAAAGTTAGGTACTGGAGAAATTGATTTTGAGAATGTTATTGATGAACTTTTGGCAATCAAATCGAAAAAAGTACAATAATTGTGACTCTGGAAAACTTTGTACCTAGCCAATATGTTTTTTGCATCAGCGTCCCCTTTCATTTAATATTATTTCATTTTTTTTTTTTATTCAGTATGTCTGTAAAATAATAAATACACGCTTAAATAAAAATTCGATAAATAATAGTTGAAAATGTTTAAAATAGTATCATAAGAATTTTTTTTTTTTTTTTTGGAAGGGGGGCACGAATTCAAATTTGCCTCAGGCGCCAGAAGAGCTCGCTACGGCTCTGGCAAATAGGTACATTACGCGTTCAACACCTACACGCGCAAACAATAATTGAACTGTAGTGCACCATCTATACTTACAAAACTATAATATTTTAACGATTCTGTACATAGCATTATACCGTAGTTGTTTGTTAATATAAACGTTGCGTTTGAAAACGAAAATATGAAATTCGAGTAAGTTGCGTTGGAAAAGCGCGTATTAATAAATTACCGCGTATAATTTTTCAATTGAATGTTTTTGTTACGAGATTCGGGAAATATTTTCACGCCAAACGCTTGACGTTTAATTGTGCGTTATCTTATTCTATAAAGAGCACGCGATGTCTCCGTCTTTGAAACGTACGACTCGGCAAAATTGCCGTTCGGCTATATTTGAACGAAAAATAATAACCACAAAACTAAAAAGACTGTGACTTTTTTTTACGTCAGTTTTTTTTAAGAAAAGGCCACGTACATCTCTCGAAAATATTCTCCACTTTAAATTTCATAATTTGCGCTTGAACTCTGATTATTGCAATCCAAACGTCACGGTTTACGTTCCGTGTAACATAGTATTTTGCTACGTTGCCCGTTAGTCGCGCTGATACAGTATAGACGCGAGTGTGATGTCCTCATAAGTGCACGCGATACCCGCATCGGCCCAATCAGCGTGCATTATTCTAATCGCAAATCATAATTTCATAATCATATTTACCTACAGGTGTGACAATACAGGTAGTATTTCGAATGAATTATCTTGACTGATAGAAGACTGACAGACTGAATAGTCGACCGTTCAATTACTATAATGTGGTAACAGTATTTATTAAATAAAAAGTTATATTCATACCATACAGTTATTGAGTTCGACGCGTAGTACAAA